TTCAATTTTCAATTAAATCGCTCATTTGCCATGAGAAACAATAAATATTTGGAACATAAAATTTCGCATCAACAAATATATATTATTGTTATAAACTAATTAAAGAAGAGAAAAGTAAAATATTGTTAGCTGCAATTTTTATATAATACTGAATTGCAATTTAATATGCAAATATTAAAACCGAAAAAAATCTGTTAAAGCCTTACCATTTCGGTAAGCAACCCAACCATATCGGTTCATTAGCATAAAAATAAAATTTATATGAAAGACCAATTTAAATAAGAAAAAAAAAATAAAATTTGTTTGGCTAATTTCTGGTCATTTTGGATTTAACAGAAATCCTGCAAATAAAAGAAACATTTTTAAAAAAGACATTTTAAATGAGCCCAAAAACGACCGCAAATTAATTCGACAAGGTAAACTGATATTGTACGCAAAAACCATAAAACCTCATTAACACTTGAACAATATTTAAATTAAAATTAAAATAAATGTTGCTTTTTAATTAATTCAATGTCATGCATATTTTATGAGCCAAAACCGTCGAACAAACACCGCAAATTTGCCAAAACAGCTCCACGCGTAAAATGTTCTGTGCTCTGCTGTGCAGATGAGCTGATGTGAAAATTTGGAACGGACAACTGACATCCCATCACCCCCACTATCTCACCTTTTTGCGTTTATTTAAACTGCAATTTTTTATATATATATACATTTTTATCGTATTATAACGACCACATCAAACTTAACCCAAACTTAAGCACTTAAAATTTTCCCAAAAATTAAATTCACGTAGTGTTAAAATTGAATTTTACCCTTTTTGCAAAAATCCCCAGCCCCCTCCCCCCTCTGTAGCTTCTCTCTCTCTAACTACACATTTATACTTCAACCGCAAACGCACGTAGTGCACTGCAGTGTCAGTGTTTGAGTTTTCATATAAATATGCAGTTTGTGAAAATATTTTAACGCAGTATTTTCCATATTTCAGGACTACGTCACAGTCTACGATGGCTACACAACACGTGACCCAATCATATTGAAATTTTGCGGTGGTGGTCAAGCAGTTCCAGCTGCAGTATCCAGTGGACCGGAATTGCTAGTTGAATTTACTACATCACCATTTGGTACCTTTCAAGGCACATCCTCACAGGTTTTACCATTATATGGATTTCAATTAGAAGTAAGTAAAAGAGAATGCCAGTAATTAAAAATTAAATTAAAAATAAAAATAAATTATATAGAATAAAATAAAAATAAATAAAATATAAATAAATTAAACATAAATAAATAAAATGTAAATAAATAAAATATAAATAAATAATATATAAATAAATAAAATATAAATAAATAAAATAAATAAAATAAAATAAAATGTAAATAAATAAATATAAATAAATATAATATATATAAATAAATTATAAAATAAATAAAATATAAATAAATAAAATATAGTTTTTATATTTTTTAACCGGCTAGATCGTTTATTTAACACATCACTTTATGAAAACGTTTTTTTAATAAAATAAAAAATTACACTTTTTTAACAGTGTTAATTTTAGTTATATTTAATTTTTTTAATAAAAAATTTATATTTAATTTTTTTAATAAAAATTTTATATTGAATTTTTTAATAAAAATTTATATTGAATTTTTTTAATAAAAATTTATTAAAAATTTTTTAATAATTTATTTTATTTAAATTATTTAATAAAATATATATTTAATTTTTTTTAATAAAAAATAAATATAACTAATATTAACACTGTTTAAAAAGGTAATTTTTTTTATTTATAATAAAAGTTTTTCATTAAAGTGATGTGTTAAATAAACGAACTAAGCCCGTTAAAAATATAAAAACTAAAATAGTTATTGTTCGAAATAGCAATTGATTAAATAAATATATATAAATAAATTATAATATATACAAAATATATTAAATAAATAAAATATAAATAAATAAAATATAAATAAATGAATAAAATAAATAAAATATAAATAAATAAAATATATTATCTTATATTTGCGACCAAAAATATTATGTAATAATTTATTAGCGGGCTAATTGGTATATTTTGATAATTTCACTGAAGATGACTGTATCGGAAATATATTAAAATAAAATGTAATTTGTTTTTCGTTATCAATAATAGATTATAGTTTTTTTATTTCTATTTAAATGACCAATTAGCCCGCTCATAAATTATTATAAATAAAATACAACTAAATAATAGAAATAAAAATAAAATATAATATAAAATATAATATAATTATAATATAATACAAAATAAATATTTTATTTATTTATTTATTTATATGTGAGTTAACCTTAAAATTAAAATTAAAGTTAACTAAAAATAAGAAATTGGACTGCTAGGTTTCTCGTCCTTCACAAAATAAATATTTCCTGAGATTAATGATGATGAGTACTTGGCAATACTAGAAGCAGCATTATATGGTCGGTTGAATTTAAAAAAATTTATTAAAATTTGTGTTGTTCTTTTTTTATTACTGTTTGAACCCTTCTTATTTATTCTCTCCTTTTTAAATTGATGAAAAATAAAATTAAACAGAAATGCCATTGTAGTTTCCAGTCTTGAACTAGTTCTGCAATTTCGGCTTCATCTCATCTATTAATTCTTTTAGAGTTTGATAAATAGAAAGTCGAAATGTGCCATGTCTGCAAAATAGAGTGCTTGCAACGATACAATAGTGTTACGTTTCGTCATGAACTTTTGCTTAACACCACCTTTTTGGAATAAATTTTCCTGCCAATCACTACATATCGCAAACCTTCGTAAAATTTTATACAAGTTCAAATGTGCCTTAAAATATTCTGCTGTAATGGTAACTCTTCTATTAAGCAACCTAATTAATTTAGTTTTTAATTTAGTTTTAGTTATGACGTTCACCTCGCGTCAATTTCAATGTCCCTTCAACCTTCCCGAATAGATTGTTTCTACTTCACATGAAAAAACATGACTATACCGCTTACATAGAGAGCTTGAATAACCAAGAGTTAAGACAGGAAAAGATTTCATGGATTATAGAATCGTTGCACTATAACATCGAAATCTGCCACAAAATAAATTGGTTTGCAATGTTTAAAAAGTAAAAGATATGTGTATGGGAAGATATCTGAATGTTAAAAAAATTTCGATATTGATATTTATAAAAGCGAGTTTGTGGATGATTTTATGTATTAAATGATTAATATAGAATGGGAACACGTTTATGATTGCAAGTACAAACGGCAGAAATTTTGATAAAAATTGACTTTATGACGTCCGATTAGAATGGATGTTTTCTATGTGCACCTCTAATAAAATTAAAATACCAGTAAATTTCTTAGAGGATTGAATCCTTAGAGTATGTTTAAATATTAATTATAACAAAACAGATTGTTAAAGAACCACCCATAAGAACGCAATTTACTAACGCTCTATACCCGGCAGATGGTTCTGCCACGTCCATGTCATATTACGTGCTCTATGATTATTTTTAGTTGAGACTTTTTTTTATTCGCTCTATATCGAAACTTTTATCTAAACTTCTCTTGTATATATAATTATATATTATATTAATAAGAATAATAATTTGTTTATAAGAATAATAAATGGAATAAAATAAAATGAATATTATACCATATAAATACATATACTAAGTGGAAGTATTATGAATTGGTTTCAAGAACGGCCGAATCTACGTCCCAGAGTCACTCGTCCCCAGCGATGACCAAGTGCCATTCGCCACCTTGAAAAAGAACTTCTTAACAGGTTACAACAACAACTACATTGTGGATTGTATATTTAACTACATAACTAGAGGCTGCTCCTAAACGTAGATATGCATATTTGTATTTTATGATTATTATAAACTTCAAACGATTCTAAAGACAGAACATTTTTGATGAAAAAAAAATACGTTAAACAAAATATTTTCGAATGTGCAAATTTTTGTTATTCCAATCACGGATCCGGAGGTATATGCGTAACAACTTAATGCTAACCGATTCAAGCTTTTATATTAGTAACATTAATCTACATTTTATTATACCTTAACATTTATTTGAAGAATTTATTAACTTTAAACTTACCATTTGAATTTTTGATTTTTAGGTTGAAGTAAAATTCGTGGATATTCAAAGCCCCACCTACTCAAAAAATAAGAAGCCATGTGAATTTTGGATACGTGGTGCCGGGCGTGGCATACTAGAGAATCCACAACACTCTTTAGCACCAAACACCACATGTCTGTATCATTTACAGGGTATTGGTGTCTTCAAAACCTTTGACCATCTTAGTTTATCGCGACGTGTCACTGCACAAGGCGTACATCAGCCAATATCACGTTTTAAAGTTTGGATTTCTATGCTGAAATTTAATCTCGATCCTGAATTCGGTCAAATCGATGAGACTTCAGTTGGTGCTATTGGCGTACTACAAACACATGAGGATTGTAGCGGCATGCTACGTATCTGGGATGGTGCTTTGCGTGATCCACCGCAATGCAAAGACCTAAATTGGTACATAAAAACATATTCAAATGATTTACTAATTAATTAAATATTTCTTACTTACTTACTATTTAGCGTCAGTGATGCACCTTCACATTCTCCATTATCACATTTCAATCAGAACCACACAAACATAATAGCACGCTTCTGTCGTGGCACAATTCCACGCACTTGTGATCGATCGAATATTAACGAAACATATGCACGTCCATGCACCATATCTGAAAGTTATGTGTCCAGCAGTGACACAATTACTTTGGAGCTTAGGAATACCGAGTCGACAGCGTTGAGGTAAATCAAAGTTTTCACAGGAAATTTAAGCCTATTAATTACTTAATGCACTTATCTAACCACATTTTCACTTCCACACGCACTTTCCTCGCATAAACACATATCATTGCAGGCCACTTGATTTTAAGCTGAAATACGAATTTATTGACCTGCATCAGGATGGCTTACCAATGGGCGGCGGTGAACATGATTGTAGTCGTAAATTCGTTAGCAACATGATGGACCGCAAGGATCCGGCCATATTTCGCAGTGTACGCAACATATTTCTATTTGGACGCGGTGGCACACGCAATCTGAAATGCATCTACAAGTTCGAAGGTCAACGTGGTGAACGAGTACGCATCAAATTACGTAAGGTCACCACAATGAACCGGCAATGCATGTCACGAGTGGATGAAGATATTAACAGGTCGTTCTGTTACGGTGACATTAGTGCGCGTATTGAAGTAAATTTGTTACTTATAGTGCCATAGGTTTTTATTTAATTTTACTTGTTTTTTTTCTTTGTATTTGTAGATATTTGAACGCCCTTATCACGATTCAATATTACTGCCCAGAGGTTGCCTCTGTAATTCCTCGAATACATCTCATTTACCAGTTGAATATACATCGACTAGTCGGGATTTAGAGGTACATTTTACTGCCTTTAACATGTCAACACTTGATGATCCAGATGCTATAAATTTCGAGGGACTTTTTGAGTTCATAAAAGGACCCACCAATTGCAAAGATGGCAGGCGTAAATTTGGTCCTAGTGGAACAATTGATATGACATTTGGCGATGTGAGTAAAGTGAAAAATATTTTTTTTGAAATTTAATTTAAATAAATTATTTATCCAGATGGAGTG